AGTAGTGTCCAACGGCAAGAGTGTTGGCAGCCACGACGCAATGCTCGGTATTTTACGTGAAGACAAAAAAAGCCGGAATATTTCGCACGAGAACCGAGAAAAAAAGTAGATCACTCAAGAAAGCTTGTAGATATTCATGGTTGCTAGCTGAACGACTACGCGAAGGAGTTATTTCCCTCGTGGACTTGGTTCGCTGCTTTCGAAGAAGAAAGGAAAAACCACTAATTACACTGAGGTTGCCAAAGGAAACAGCTGACAAAAGAATTGGAATTTGAAATGAAACCTCCGTTTACTCATTTTTGCAGCCGATACTCCAGAGGAACTTATAATACGATTCAATCTCACATTGGAAGCGGTCGATCACTTCTTCCGGCCTTTCATCATAAATTCAGAAATATCCCGAAATGCCTTGCTATCGTAATTTCAAAGAGAAAAAAAAAACGCTTGGAGACAGAAAATGTTCTGTTCGACAGTTTAAGTTGAGTTTGCATACACTTGAAACCTTTTCCGTGAATACCACGGCCTTCAGGCAAGATTTTTCAAATGGACATGCATAGTATTCCTGAACTGCTATTCAATTTTTAATGCAAATATCTCAAGATTTTCTCAGCCATCTCAAGTGGTGACACTTGCCAACATTTCTTACGGTTCGGGGCACTGATCAAATAAACGTTACGATTTCAAAAGTCGAGAAGTGTTCTCAAGGGTTTATTTTTATCCAGTCGGCCTGATTTCTTTCAGAAAATTATGAGCGAAGATTTTTAAAATAACGCTTTTCTTAAAATGCACTGCGAGACTCACGCGAAAAACCGTCGGTATTTAAGAAAACATTTTATCCGAAGAGCCTCTCGAAAACTTGAAGAGCTTTGGATGAAAAATTATGCTATGCACATAAAATTTCGTATAAAACTCAAAATAAAGTTGGAACTTTGATGATTGAGCTTCATACTCAACAGAAAATCTAGAACTAGCAAGAAAATCCAAGTTTCGAAAGTCCCCTGCATGGCAACTATTCTCCAAGTACCACGAGAAAATGTCTGCAGAAAATGTGATACAGTACTTTTTAATAATTTTCCAGGCGCAGGATGCATTCGGCCCCACCGATCGAATAAGAAATCATTTTTTGACAATATAATGCATATTTAAATAGCCACACTCGACTTCCATGAAAAGTACAACGAGCAAATACAATACCGTACTACTCCTCGAGGTATTTGCATACTCAAAGGGATTAAATAATTCCGGGCGACCAAGAAACGTTTTTAGTTGGATCAGCTTTAAAAATTGGGCCATTTCGTCGGCGAATGATCGAGCTTTGAATTTTCATTATTGAACAGGGTCCTAATGCTGTTCTTCGATGCACGTTAAAAAAAATGTGTGCCATTGTAAAACAAACGTAACCCCGGCTAAATATCGTTCAACAATGCAGATATACATATACAGTATAGTAAAATCAAGATTTTTTCGGCGACCTTTGCGAAGCCTGCACAGGAGACCTGTGTCAAAGGGGGACATTTCCCGATTCACCCTCCAGTTCCGCTCAGCGAGCTCTGGGAACTACGCCCAACAGGTGAACTCATGTTGTATCAATCATCACCTGTTGCATGGTTGGTGCATCAATGGGCAACAGGTGTGGAATAAACCTTTACAATAGCAGCGACACCTGTCAACAAGCACACAAAAGTCGGAACCGAATCTTCCATCAAGAACGGCGTGACGGTACATGAAGGTGAAACTTGACATAAAAAAAAGAAATTCATTTGACGCTTCGATTATCGTTAGAAAAGAAGCCGGTTTAAAAACCGGACACGATTTGGGAAACCAGACTTTTAAAATGAAGAGGTATTCATTGCCTTTTTTGGAAAGAGAAAGGAGGGAACACCACAAAATGTTATTAGACTTTCACATCCATAAAACCCTTTCTTAAGGACACATTTTCGAAATCCATCATGAACTGGCACGCGTATTACCGATGATTCCGCTATTTGTAGTGAATTTTTGTGAATAAAGACGTTCTTAAAAAAAAACTTGAGCGGCAAATTGGGTGCTTCTCTTCGAAACCATCTTTTGATTACATACATCGCATGTAAAGCGATTGATTCCGACCAAAACACAATTTTTGTTCCAAATGCCATCACGATCATTGGAATGACCCCGCACGGAAAAGAAAAATAAATCATTCGATGAAGCGTGCTGATCAGGATGATACATATGAGTCATAAACGGATTATTCTGAGCTTGAATGTATCAAACAAGAGATACACATTTATTTGTACAGGAACGTTCAGACTTTCAACGAAAAATGTTCGCCTTACATTCAATTAATGGCGTCTTTTGTCACAATACAAATAGCGAACACAAGCAGGGTTGACGCGTCTCGTTCAAATTCCAATACATGCGTTTTCTATCTACAACAATCCTGTCTACAGTATAATGATTTTCTCTGTTCAGTACAATGAATTTTTGGGTGGTCCCAAAAGGTTCTCTCCCCCATGTTATTGGTGTTCTCTACATTGAAATTCTCTCAACAACGAATTGTTTATTTCTACGTTGTAGAGAGGTAGTTCACCTGCATGTATTGTACAATACATTTTGTCGGCTACCTCGAATAGCGCCAAACACGCTGGAATTTCTGAATAAACTGACAGAACGTTACTTGGATTTCTCAAGAGAATGTCGAATCAATTTACAGCCTTTTTCTCCAATAAGAGAACAGGATTCCTTTCCTTCTTCCGATTTTTGAAACGTGTTGACCACACATTATCATTCCGTGCAAGGGCAACCTCGCTGCCCACATCCGGTTCACACTACGTAACGGAGCCTCAGGGGCTCCATGTTCGTGGCCCATCACGTTTGAAACTAGGCTGATGGGCTAACATCATGAGATATCCCTCGGTTTTCTTTTTTATTAAACCACACAAATGATTCCCATCCGACGGAGTGAAAATTATCCGTCGCCATTCAATTTAAACTCGGTTAATGGCAGCTTTTTAAAAACCGAAGCGTACGGGTCTGAATTCCAACTAAGCTCAGGAATAAAATCCAACACGTCTTTTTTTTTGAGGTCAGTGCCATTAAGAAGATGCGATTTTACTTTCTACATCAACAAATCCAGTTCTCCGGTTCAACCATCAAGCAAAGCACGCGAAAGTAACGATAAATAAACGCCTCATCCATTTATTCCCCCGGGGCCTGTACAATACTGTATAGTAACAGCGGGAGGAAACCACTCGACCAACGAGGCGTTTATTGTCAAGATCAAAAGAAATTTAAAAAAAATTGTACGATCGTGAAGATTACTCGTTTACTGCTGACAAAAAAATACTGTTCATTTATTCACACGCATAACGGCCACATGATTCATCTTTAAGCAAGAATCATCAGGAAATGAACGCGGAAAAGACAGTGAAGTACAGTATATGAAAACGTTTCCGATTAATTTTGAAAAACGAGCTTCCCTTGGCTCATGATTGATGAAAATAACAGGCTCGATAAAACCTAAAATAAAAGAGCACGAGTGTATCCTGATCCCCATTCACATCGCCCGCCGAAATAGGATATACACAGAACAAGTAGACAAAAGCAGGCAGCAAATGAATCCATCGCATAAACACTGTACATGGCCAATTGACGTCAACTAAACCCAAGCAAATAGGGCAGAGATTCGAATGTAAACTGAATAGTTCAATATTTCTCGAATTGAGCTGAAGCACGATTTCACTTATCGAGTCCGTAATCCGCGATATTTCTGCAATTTAGGTGATTCGAAAACTTACAGGGCAGCGAGAATTTCCACTTTTTTCAGGAAACACTCATCCCTGAAGCATCTGCACTGACAACATTTCTTCATACATCTTGAGGAACGAATGCAAATTTCCTGTCACAGAAACGGCAATGCCATTTCGGAGTGCGTATTTTCATTCCTGCGTTTCCAGCAATACCGTAATTTGGAGTTTTCAAAAACGGTAGATGCCGCGAACATTTTCGGATAATCCTGTCCATGCTCAGAAAGAACCGGAATTTTTTTGATAAGAAGTTGAAATTAGCGGAGAGCAAGATGAATTCTGTGGTTTGAACAACTTGAACCCAAATGAAGTGCTGATCTACAGATTCCAGTGAAGATAGAGAGAGCGTGAAATTAAGATATTTTAGAACATTTATGCAGGAAAAACTGCGGTTCACACACACACGTGAATACAGTACTGTACTGTGCGTAATAACACGTTCATATAAACTGAACTCATCCCGATTCCTCTGTGCTAGTCAAGTTCATTCAATCATATTTCTCTGACTAGCACTCTAAACAGCACAGTAAGCAGAAGGAAATATGTATGCCATCAAACCTGATCTTGATTGCAACGCAAGCTTCAATTTTCAAGAATTTCGCTTGTTCCCCAGAAATTTTCGAATACACACCGAAAATAAATCCACATGAATTTTATTTTCACTCGAGGGGAGTAGAGGAGCAAAATCAAAACTTCACGAGACGAGATTAGCTTGTGCTTTTTTTTCGGGGAAACTTGGAATATGAATTTCAGGTTACACTAAATCTTCAGCGAAACACTTGGAAAAGGACCTCCGGTGAAAAATGAGAACTGGTTACTGACAATCAATTTGCACGATTTTACTCAACAAGTCAGCAATCCGCGATATTTCTGTAATTCAGAGAGTTCGGAAAGATACAGAGCAATTATTCATCCTTGGAGTACTGAAAAAAATTTCTTCAGGCATCTAGTGGAGCGAATACTGAATTATCTGCTACAGAAACTGCAATACTATTTCAGAACGCGTACAGTATTTTCATTCCCCGGTTTCTAACAAAAGAGTATTTTGGAGTTTTTTTACATTTTTCATTCTGGAGTTCTTTTTCATGTTTGCGAACATCATTTAAAAATTCTGTCTACGATCAGAAAACCCTGAAAATTTTCTGATTAAAATAAGGGGGAATCGATACATTTTGTTTAAAAAAATAAAAAGAAAGAATCAAGCCTGCTACTCACGGCTTCTAGTCCGGTTCCAAATGTTTCGCAGCGCGAAGTACCTGGGCATGCCTCGTGGTTGCGCTGCTTCCGGTTTTCCGCACGTCTCATGGCACGTGGCCTACTGCTACGATTCCTGAGGAGGCTGCCGAGACGCGCAATTTCACTTTCGATTCCAGTCGCGCGGCAATTGCTTCTCGAGGGCAATCAGCGGCCGACCTGTGCGAGACACACTGCGAACATGACATCACGCTCTCTCCCTCATCCAAATGTGAATCTTGTGTCCGTTTCGTGAAGCACGAATAATTTCCTTCGTCGATCGACTGGGTCACTGCGTCGCGTTAGGCTTGCCTTGCACTACCGCCAACAGAATGTCTTCGCTGTCTTCCTCCAGCCAATCGGGGATTTTTCTTCCTTTTTCAATTAGGCTTTTTTCTTAGGCCTTAGTTTATAATAAATTACTGTCTTGAGCGTTTGGATTCGAAATTCTAAACCAGGGGTTTTCTCGGTCACATATTTTCACACTCACAGGACTTGAAAGCTGGAATTTCTTTGTGGCACAGTGCATTGAACAAGGCCTGATTTGAGTTTCCTATGATGCATAGCACAATTCCTTCCTACATCGATAACATTTCTCTAGCATGACCAAAATATAAAATTTGGATTAAGAACTCTTCCGGTTTCCTCATTCGAAATTTTAATACAGGATTTTTAAATTTTTAGTGCCACTTTTTGAAGCCTTGGCACTAGTAAGCAATTAAATTAGGGACTTCGACCGGCGGTTTTGTTTTTCTCTGAATTTCCAAAAGAATTCCAGTGTCAAACTCACTCGACTTGAAACAGTTAAGGAAAATTCCTTAGATGTCTGGACTCCAGATAATCAAATGCTTGATGTAATGGAAATTGTTTGAGGCCTTTGATACATGGCACGATTTCTTAATGAATTTCTTCCACTGGTTCCGAGCATCATATTCATTTATCGAGTACCGTAATAAAGCGATTGAACTTGGCTCCTGAACTGGGGTTTAATCTTCCGTGTTTCCCACAAGATATTGTCCCGCTCACTGGACTCGAGAATGGGAATTTCTCCGATGCCTTGAACTCGAATGTTCGCAGCGGTTTTCACACACCGTATCCAAATGTCGATAGGCTACGCGGAACTTTCCCACCGGTCATAAACCCCCCCTGCCGATTTTTAGCAAAAAACCCCCTCTCTCCAGCCGGCTGTATTTTCTCGGGCTGTCCAGACCTCCTCCTCCTTCTCAACAGACTCACTTGAAGGACTTGTCGGGTGTGGTGAAGGCGCTTGATCGGAACGCTCGAGGAGAGCCCATGAAATCCCGACTGTTGCGACTTTCACTGCGTTGAGCAACGCACGCGTCATCCGGAAGCAAGCGCTGACGTTTTTCGTCTAAGTGTGCACGCAACGGGCTGCGGTGCCGTGTTTACCATGTCATCATCGCAATATTGTTCCGCAGGAAAAACTGTTCTGCGAGTCCGAAGCACGGCAGAACCCGGAAAACTGTGGAACGTCGGCAAACACGTTTGTCTCCGGCGGAGCGTTTCCGTTAAAGATGACGACTTCCGACGAGTTAATCGCCTGATTACGCTTCGCCGTAGGCAAGAAACGACCGCGTATATGCTTGGATTTTTTGTAGACCAGCATCATTCCACTCAATCTTTAGCGACCGCTTTACCACAAAATGATCCTGATGAGATGTGACCAGTCTTTTCCCGCCACTTGCACAATCCGTATCACGCAATATTCTGCGAACAGAAAATGAAAATTCGGATCACGGAGGAAAGCGACTGAATCGACGATACTCGAAATCCGTAATAGAAATAATTTTTCTCGTGGAATAGTTAAATAGGGGATATGCGTTCTTTTTCTCCCAAAATGAGAAAAATATTGTATACTCTTCCTTGGATAGTGGTTAAATTTCGACGAAGTCCAACACTGAGAAGTGAGGTATTGCAAAAGTTGAGTGAACTCGGTTGTGCAAAATATCCTTCGAAGTCATATAAACTTTTTTCATGGCTGTGGCAGTTTTTTATAGGGCGAAGTGCAAAAGATTCAAGAAATTTATGGTGGCGACGAAGTGACGATAAAAATGTCTTATAGAACCTCACATTCAAATTTCCATCCTCTGTCTGATTTTCTTATTGAATCGACCCACTTTTCACTGTTAACCATATACAGTATTATATAACATGCCGTAGCTTCTTTTCCAAATATTTTACAATACCAAGAGAAATTAAAACAGCTTGAGCGAATAGCGAAGAAAAAAAGCTTCATAATCTTTTAAGGGGGGTTTAACGGAGGTACAGTATCATAATCAAAAGAACGGAGCATGATTTTCCTTTTCGCGGAATTTCTTGTTTCAATTCCGGTGTCGACCATCTCAATGCCGTTTTGGTTATTAAATTCGTAGGATGATGTGTTGGCCAAAAATACTGCACATGAATAGTCACATAAATAATTAAGTGCTTTTATGGAAGCCGGAAAATAAGTCACATCAAGCGGCAATTACGTAGGGATATTTCGAGTAAGCTTTCCGGCCATAAATAAGTTACTTCAGAGCAAAAATTAGTAGACCGAAGACTGCATAAAATTCCCTCCGGACTTCCACATGTTATGTTGTACTGCAATGTACGAATAAGGTATCTACTAAATTTCACAAGAAATCTTCTAAGAAACAATTTTTAATCCTCCACTTCGCGTGGTACGGATTTGAGTTCGCCATATTTGACCGTCAATCCACGCGATTTGGAGAAGTTACTGGTAATACGTATATTTTTTTAGCAGAATCGAGGTCAATCGAGTAATTTTCCGCGCCACATAACGCGTTAAATCATACTATTCCACGAGAAGAATTCTCAGTAATATTGCGAAAAACGGTGATCACAAAAACGCCACTGAAACATCCCTATCTCAATCGTTCCATTTCCAATACCGAAAAATGGAAAAGCTGACAAGAGAGCTCAGGAGAACTGATTCGAACAGCGAACAGGAGATTCGGTAAGCCTACAAAAACCGCGGACAAGTTCCACGTCGACCCCCAGTTCAACAATATTTTTCCGAAAAACAAAACAAGGCAGACATGCGGGTGAACACCCAGAAAGAAAAATCTAGTGAGCAAAAACATTTCTCAAATGAAAACAACCCCCCCCCCCCCCCCCCCGACATTGTGGAGCGCAAAAGCAGCCTGCGCTCAAAAGAGGTAGACTGCACGAACAAGTTGCCTCAAAACAAAAAATTTCGACATAAAAGATCTGAAGTCCGTAAGTTCATCACAGATCGTAAAAACGATTATCGTTACTATATTAAGTACGCTTTCCCACTTTCAAATTCCGTCGTCAGTACGAACAAAACAAAAACAAACAATATCAACAAATGCAACGATGCTCGGGATCCAAATCACTATGCAAAGGCACGTGGAATTTCCGAGGAATCTTATTTGTTCCGTGCTCCATGGTTGAGCAGTAGAAGACTCAAATTTCGCCTCGTTTGCCTTAAAATTTCTAAAACGCACAAAAAACATTTCATGCGCTCTCGAGAATATCAACTTCCAATGCCAAGTTTCTCCAACATGACACGAAGACATGGCACTTTCCCAGAAGGTAGCAATGCAGCAGAATAGTTCAACACTAAGAACTTGATAATTTCAGTCGATCGCGATCAAAACACAATTAAAAAAAAACTTGAAATACAATTTTCAGAAAACGAAGATCTAACAACAAGAAGAGACTCAAGGAAACAAATAATTCACAGAAACGAGACTTTGAAATCCTTCATGGATTGAGGAACTCGTGAAGAATCGATTGTCAGGGTTACGAACGATCACAAACTACCAATAACTTTCTAGTGAACTGAATGTTCAGATTATAATCATCACTTACAACTCCCAGATCCACAAACAAACTAGCAAACAATATTTTTAAATTTTAAAACGTCAACGAGAAATGAACTCCACGCGGGTATAAAGTTCAGACGAATTTCCTAGACCTTCTAAAAATTGCTCAACAAATATATTTGAAACTTACCTTGCTTTCCCAATGAAATCCTCACATACAAATTTGAACATTTGGTTACTGTGAATTCACACGGCCGCGCATTCTTTCAAAATTTTCAAGATTTGGAAGAAGGCAAATGAAATTCCAACAGTTTCTCACGTCTTACAAAAAGTTCACGCGGACTTATCGCCAACATCAAACGTTTCCCGCATCACGATTGCCTAAAATCATACTATGAAGCAATTTCGATCACGTTCGAAACCTTAAAAAAAAGTTGGCGAACTTTCGGTTCGAAAAAAAATTTGAAGCTGTGTATGACCGCGAACCAACAACTGGGTCATTTGGCACATAGTTAAATTCCGACATGACACTGCGAAATCTTAACTCCTTTCCTTTTTCGTTACTAGTACAGTATTAAAAAACAGCACTCCACTTTCACTAGGAAGCGAAACATACTCAAATGCTGGATCATACAAGGTCACGAAAATCCCTGAAAATTTACACGACGCTTCATGATACTTCTTCTCTTTTCAGTCGGACGCTATCCCCTGAAAAAATAGAATAATTCATCAATGTAACATCATCTTATTTTACTGAAAAAATTTGAAATGCTTCATTAAAACGAACTAAAAAAGCAGCACTGTAAGGACTGCTGCACATGGCAATGACACATGGAAGATTCACAACTTCGATGAAGAAAATTCAACGCCAATACTGCTTTGTAATACTTTTTTTGCTTCGGTACAAATAAAACTGCAAAATAACTTAAGGGAGCCTTCATAAAAATTTAACAATTTCGAATAAATAAAAACGGCATATTCGAAAAATGGCAACGTTTCCTTGAGAACAAAATTATTCTACTCTCAGCACCTTCGTTAAAATAAACTCACTCGACCGTCGTCTATCATTCCTCCAAGACATGGGTCGAATATTTTGTTGACTCGAACGACGCTCATCACGTCGCCACACGATACTGCTGTCGTCCCCCTCTACAGTGGTGGTGCTCGAAGGATCGTCCGGTAAGGACAACAACTGTTGCGACGCCCAAGAAGCTTCAATCTCCGAAGGAGATGAGTCAATTACTCTCCAGTCGCGCCTTCGCGGTGGGGTAGATACAGACTGCTCAGCTGCCGCAGGCAAAAATGTTGAGCACGACTCTTGACGATCAGGATAAGACTGATACATTGAAGCATGTGAAGGGTGTGCACTAGGAGGGATGAGCATAAATGATGTCTCTTGAATCCCGTTGACCTAGAATAAATAAGAAAAACATTCGTGAATTTCACAACAGCCTAGCAAATGAAGTGTTTCATGAAATTACATTGCAAGTTTGCAACATATTCACAGTGAAATCCTGGGTTAATAAGAATGCAATTTTTTCAGATGATGAGCAGAATGTTCACGATTTACATTTCAGTTAGGTAAAAAATATTCAGCCGAAATCGATGGAAATTTAGTGTTTTAACTTCGTCAGGTTTTTCTGATTTCATTGTGTTGTAAACGCTCATGTACTAAATTAAAAGAGGAGGTCCGAAATAACCTCATCTAAGCGCAACAATTTCGATATTATACCAGGTTTCCTACAGGAAAAATTGGCCCTGCATACGTTAAAACATGTACTGTATATCTTCCGGTGCAATTGATCCAAGAGGATCAACTTACCCTTTCAAGTGTTTCTAGAGGGCGTCTGGGAGAATCCAAGTGATCACAACTTGCTGAAACAGGGTTGCTCGGCGACAGTGAGATCGGACTGAAACCCACAACAGCGCTGACGGGACGCAGGCCATTCGCCATTAGTCCATTATGGCCATTCCGCCTCGACTCATGAATACGCATCGGTTCACCTTCAGGTGGACCAACCGCTGGAAATTCTCGAAATTTGGACTCTGTTTCTTCATTAGCACCTGTAACCAGTATAACATCAGAAAGTAGCACATCAAATAAACTGCTGAGAAAATAAAGAAACGAGGATTAAATAATTTTCGAACCAGGACTGTTGATGCGTCGCCGACAGTACGCAATTGCACAAGGAACAGCGATCAGGAACAAAATGGCTCCGATTACAGCTCCAACCATCGCTGTCAGAGGGAATTCTGTCGGAAGTCCGAAGTTCCTTTTTTCGTCATCGAAGGCAGAACCGAAAACAGCATCACCGCGTCGATCGTTGGACGCAGAAGAATCGTTTCCGTGATTGTAATCTATGAACAAGATATATCGACAATCTATTAACAATAAACCACAGAAACACTTCAACATAGCCAAATATCCATAATTAATCGACGCCGATTTTTCAACTGAACTCCCAGCCGTTAACTGAAGACATTTTATATTTTTGGAAGAATTCAAAGAAAAAACCAGCGAAGCACTTCTGAGTTCAAGAAGATGAGCACGACGTAAAGCTATGCTAATTTTAAAAATTTTAATAGTATATGACCTCTCGTTTTCGCTGTGATGAGCCCAGAAAAGCTCGACGGCCCACCAACATTGAAGGCTTGGATCTTTATGTCGTACGTCGTCCCGGGTTCAAGATGCCGCAAAATATGCGATCGCCACGCAGAACCCATCACGGTGACCTTTTGATAATCTCCAGCAGACGTTGTTGATCTGTAGTAGATGAAGAAGCCTTCAATAGACTTTTCTGCTTGATTGTACTCCCACTGGATTTCCAATGAATCATTTCCGAGGGCAGTGGAATCCACAATCCTCGGAGGATGGGTCGGCCGATCGTCCGATGAGTCAGCTTCAAGCAGAAATCGCTTTGATGTAGGACCAACAGAATGATCGTTATTTGCATATGCGGCGAGAATGCGGAATTTATATCGCTGTCCATTTTCTAAACCAGGCACGGCATACGAACGAATGTGAGGTGGAATTTCTTCGTCCAAGGTTCGCCAGGCCGTGCGGCGTCGCATAGCTTTATACTGGATTTTGAAAAATTGAATTGGCAATGCCCCAACGGTAACCGGCATTTCCCAGGTGAGCATAACGGATTCGTCAGTGAGTCTGGTCACGTTAGGACGGGATGGCGGTTCCATCGCGTCTGAGGAGACATTTGGGCCAGAGGGACGTCTTCCGGGCCTTTTACCCTTTCCATTCCCTCGACGATTACCGCGGTCGGAACCCTTCTCCACTTTGCTCCCAAGATCATCTGATGATGTCACACCTCGAGGCTGAACGAACAAAAACGCCGGCGAAGTATCCACACCGTACGCGTTCTTCGCGAAACACTGGAAAATTCCGGCATGCTCTTTCTTTGCCCGGTAAATTACGAGCTTGTTTTCGAAGACACGAACACCACTCAATGTTCTGACATCACGACCATTGAATACCCAGTCTATAATTGGGCTGGGACGACCTTTCGCAAGGCATGTCATTGTTACTTCTTGATCTTCAATGACACTGGTGTCCAACGGCGGCACAGATATCACCGGCGTTTCTGAAAGAAAAAAATTAATAAATTAGTGAGCAAGACATTCAATACTTGTAGCTTCACAAAAGCAAGAGTTCCTGAATTTTGTTAGTAATATGTTTACACCATTCTTGATGAGAAGAACGAAGTGAGGCTCCGCTCATTTCACAAAAAAATTGCATACTAGGTGATATAACCAGAGCTTGAGAGTAATTAAATAGTTACGATTCAAGAATACTCGACTTCAACGAAATCAGAAAAGCTTGCCTTGAACTTCGACTTTGGCGGCATGCTGAGCAGTAGATCGACCTTTCACGTTTTCCGCCTCGCAGATATACGAGCCTTCGTCACTTTTTTGAATATTAACAAGTTTCAAATTTGACCTCAATAACATATGTCGATTCATGTTCAAGGTTTCTCCATATTTCGTCCACTTGACCTTCGGCGGAGGATTACCCACAGCAACACATTCCAACGTGAGGTTAGATCCTCGAACCACATGATTCAGAGCGAGTGGCTTCACTTTAAAAGCTGGTTGAACGGTATACGGAGTATTGACCACTTTGAGCGATGAATTCACGTTCGCCATTTGAACTTGATTCGTGATGTGATTGTGCGCTGAACACGTATAAGATCCAGTATCGTTCATCCGAAGATCGTAGATGATCAGATTTCCATTATCTGTCACAATTTTTCTCACTGAAATTATGGAACATCCGATGTTGACACAGTTGAATAAATCGTTTCTCAGAGAAATACCTCCGTCGGGAAAAACAACGGCGCCTTCCTTGTAGAACGTTATCGTTGCTTGAGGCCTTGAAAATGGGGCTTGGCATTTGATAACGGCTGCATTGCCCTCAATCACAGCTAGTTTCTTCTCTTGGCCATTAGGGCTAGGGAAAGGGAGTAACTGGGCGAGATCCAGCGTACCGGCAACGGAAGCAAGACCACTGGATCCAAACCACGCGACACACTGAAATTTTAATGCAGAACGTGTTAAATTCAACCACGGATTTTTCGAAAGCGACCGACTTGAATCACCTGATAGTCACCAAGCTGCTTGTCATACTCCTCGAAATGAATACCCAGCTTAATATTCAATGATCCATCGATTATTTTTGTACTGGTGCTGTTCTCCAGTAAAATACCATTTCTCAACCACGTATACTTGTCCGCGGGAGGATCCGTTTGGCATTCAAAATTGACGCTATCTCCCGGAGGAGTCACAATGGATTGCGGCGATTTAATAAAAGATCTGCCCACAGCTGTAAATAAAAACAAACGTGCATGAGCAGGATATAGATTTTAAAACCCGGAACAACTCACTTGCGCTAGTGATTTGCACAATGCCAATAAAACTAATAAATATTGACAGCCGACCATTCGGCTTTCGATGGAAGATCCATGTCATCCTTGGAAGTCGCAAGACGGCCTAAAGAATTCCACTTATAGCAAGAATGTGTAGCGATTTCAATAGATATTGCACTCGTTTGCGATGAGAAATCATTGTAAGAAAAGGTCCAGATAGTTATCTGCAAACGAAGTATCACAGAAATCAAAATACGACTCATCGTTCGCGAATTTCTCACATTTGACAAAGAACACTGGAAGTAATTATCCTTATTAGCATGCGAAAACCCGGAGCTCTCACCAGCCACACCGGTGATCCGCCGTGAAGTTCACACTAGTGATCAAAACCCCTGACGGAACTTCGGGTGGGAGAACAGAACATCTTCCGTCTTCCTGAACATAAAGGTTGCGGTAAATTACGGTGATCTCAATCAAACCCATTGAAGACTTGAATCAAGTCCTCTGCGCCGACGGTAAACAGGGCAATAGGAAAAAACAGTAACAGATGAAGTGATCGTTCTGATGAATTTATGAGCCAACGTCATTCATCGGAAGATTAACTTTCCGTTAGGATTCCCATACGAAGGTAGGAATGCATTTCAACCATGCATAATCTAAAATTTATTTTCACTGGCATATTTTTCTTACATGATCGGTTCTCCCAACAAGCAGTGCCTGATTTGAAATATACTGCTATCCAAAGGCAATTTTTGAACAGCTATTTATTAGCAAAAACACATGACTTACTCCATATACATCCAGACTTTTAAGAATATGTCCATCTGAATGCTGCAAGGTTTCAATTTTTTCGTTTCTTGACAACAAATGTTTTCTTTATACGCTGTATAACCGATACTGTACCTTCAGATTAGGCCTGGAACACAATTGAAGCCATAAACCCATATATGGTACGTACTCCAGGTCAGTTTTTGAGCTTTTCGAACAAATTTTTCGGTTTCCACAATACAGACCTGGAAGAGTTCTGGAAATTGATCTTCACGGAAGTTTCCGATATAATTCTAAATCATTTCATGCAATTAAATTTCAGCAAGAACCCATGTACTCAGCAGAGGTATCCTCATGGGGATTCCATCAACATTTCTTGAAATCCACAAAAGGCACCAAATAGAAATTTGACTTTTCCTACTTAAAGCAAGAAGCATTGAGGGAAAGCGCATAATTACAACAAATATCAGTGGAATTTTGTTTCACATACTCGAGTAAAATTGCATCATACGGTAGTTAGAAAAGTTAAGAATGCTAGATCGTTCAACATAAAAAACACCGATGTCATAAACTAGATCTCGTTTTATTCGCCGATCGATTCCAAGTTCACAATTAAACGCTAAAATTTCCTGTAGATTATGGGATCCTTACTCAACCGGGAGAAGAATCCACAGATCAGCTTCCTCAAATTTCACACACATTTTTCGAATTTACTGTCCAACACTTTCCAAATGTACTGTCCCACATCATTTGACACCAGGCAGAGTAAAGTACACCGACGTTGTGGGTGTCATGTGACGGATTCACACTACTAATAAATACACAATTGCCATTTGCAAAAAAATGGGAACAGGAATTGGACGAATCACAAACATCACCAGAGAAGGATAAACCAGATCAAAAATCACATTTCTCGCGGGGCAACCTCACAGCGAAACCCGATGATTCACTGGGAGATGAGTTACATGGAAACTGGTCACTGCTGAAATAATTACGAACCGGCGGGAAATAATTCAGATCTTCCCAAACTTTGTACTGAAGATTGCATCAAGTTTACGTTGTTAAAAAATGCCTAAAAAAAATCCGGGAATTCGAATGGGTTAATTAACCGTGAAACGTTCCGAATATTCACCACATAAGTACGCTTCGGGTCGTATAAACTTGTCTTACACGGAAAAACCCCCAACAGAATTACATAAAAACTCCCAGTACCCAAATGTAAGAAAAACGGGGGGAAACCGAGGCCAGGCATAAATTTAGGATTTTTCCAAGGAAAATTTCAGGTCAGCAACGGCGGATCATTCGAAGAGATTTTATCACAGGAGATGCCCTCATCGGATTTCTGGAACGTATCAATATTTTCTGCTACATTTTCTTCAGGAGAAGCGTCTGCCTCAGCCCCTAGTGGATCAGGTCGAAGATCAAACTTCGTAAACGATCCGTTGGCATCTCGTGAACTGATCAAATGATCTACAAGAACCTGCCCAGAATATCTGCTTTCCTCCGAATCTCGGCTATGAAGCAGTTTATCGTCACGTTCTTCATCGTCATTGAAGAATTCGACAGGCGCAAACTTCCCAGGAAAGAACTCACTTCCTGAAAAGCTGCCGTCACCTGCGAACAAACGATAGGTTTCAAAAAAATCACGGAATCATGATATACGACAAATCGACAATACCTTGAGTTTTCAAGACAAAAAATATGAAATATTTTTCTGTTGAGTGTAGTTCAAACAGCGGAACAGGCAACTAACCAGCTTAACCAAATACTGTACATAATTTACAACATAATGTTTTGGAAACTAATTAAACTATGTTGACAATAATTGTATCCTTTCTACGGCATTTTGAGACAACAGAAAAATGGATGTAACGTAGTGAAGTAGATAAAATTTTTCCAAGAGAATAAAATTAATAATCATCCTTGCTTCTTGCATCACTTCAGCTTGGAGCATCAAGCCCAAGCCCTCTGATGATCGACATTCTTTTCATCACTATAATCAACTACAAGATTGAATGAATGAGGTAACAGCTGCAAATTGACTCTCATCCTAAGCATAAAAAAGTAATTCGCTTTTTACAACTGTAGCGTCGACGATTTTTCGGCGGCGAAAGTTTCCAAGATGCAAATTTCTCAAACAAAAAATGTAGAATAGTTTCATATTTCCAAGCCTCACGATAAAACAGATGGTACGTAAAATTGCTCGCAAGTCTCGATTTCAAACATTTCATCGTACTTCGGAGTTTTACAGCTTTTTCAAAGTTATAACGTACCTTCACATCGTTCAGGTGAAAACGAAAAATGGCCAATCGCCGATAATCTGGAAGGAGTAGGATAGATTTCTTCGGCATCGAACTGGAAGTTCGAGTTTCCCACGGCAGGCCAGGAAAATGGCCCAGAAGCAAGTTCTTCCGGGATTTCGTCGTCATCCTCGGCATCCCATTCTTTTAAAATGAATATTTGATAAAAAAAATTAGAATTTATTTTTGATGAAAAATTAAATAGAAAGAAAAAACTCACCCGCAACATTCACAGGTGCGGATGTCGAACTCAGACTGAGCATTTTCGGGGACCAATCACCGGAGTACGAATGTTTGTTATGCTCCAAGTGCATCGGCGAGCACTTGTGGTCAGCACAATAGGGATATTCGTAAATTTCTGAACATTCCTGCGCACTAAATTTGACACTTTTCCTCGATTCAGGAGAACTCTGAAAGAAAAAAGGGGGTCAATCATACGGAGATCACGGCAAACGAAGTCAGAAATTGCGTACTTCTCTTTTATCGGGATTTTGAACAGCAGCTTTTTTCAGCAAAGAACGGGCAGGTAAGAGATCTCGATTCCAAATAGATGGCTTAAATGGCTCTGAAGGCTCGCTTCCATCTTCTCGTTCATCGGAAGAATCATCCTTTCTAGGTTTGTCCTCGGGGGTCTGGGATATAATTTTTTCTCCATCATTCGGCGTCGCTTTTATTCCATCAACCTTGATTTCATCCGTTTCCTATGCAAGACATCGGAAGCGACAGATCACATCATTGCAATGCAGAATGCGAATATAATTGAAGTCAACCTTCGGGTTATTTCCACAAATTTACCCTGAATAAATCTTCAACTCGGCTTATACGGTAAAACTTGATTCATGATTTTGTACCAAACCAGAAAAAGTCTTGCGTACGTAAAAAAAAAAGTGCGCCGAACAGGAATTTTTTTCTTCACATTTAATATCCGGTTATTTCATTAAAGATCAAAGGTACTGTACATGGATGAACAACTAAAATATTAGCTGCAGAATTTTTTCACAGATTACTGCAGTTGATTTTTGTAGCTGCCTGTCTCAGCGAAAGCTGCTAGAAAAAAATTTATGATTTCTTCGCATAACGTATAAAAAATAACGGTATAATTGCACATAAAATCAAATTGCAAAACTATATTAAATTACGAAAAAAAGTCATAGTTTTCAATGCTGCAGATGGTGCCTGAGTAACTGATGAATGATAACATGAACAAGATGCATCGAATAATGTTTTTTAATTCGTCTTTGAAATGTTCACCAAATTTTCTCATAAAGATAGTACGACCAGCACGAAAATTTCTTCAGTTGAAATAGAGATTCTGAATGATACTAATTCTCCCCATACGTTTGCAATGCGTATCAAAATTTTGTGGAATGCCTATACCGGTAACCTTCCTTTTGTACAACTACCGCATACCCTCAATTAACGGCATAAAAATAGCGAGGACAGACGGTGGCACTAATCAAGGGTGGACTGTGCAACTTACCCTGGTATAAACATATTCCCCGCTGGTTGTGGAAGAACTGTCGTCACTTTCATCTGAAGAGCTCTCAGTCGTTTCACTTTCAAAATCAGGAGTGTAGCAAACAGCATCTGGTTCTGGAGCGTCAGAAGCCTTTAATTGAAGGCCATCAGGAGTTTCCCTCTCTCCTAAAAGATGATCACCGTCGAAGTGATGCAAGTCTTCATCAACGGTTTTCAGCGATCCAAATTTCTCCTTCAAAATAGACATCGGATTTGTAATTAATTTTCAATTTCTGACGAAGGTCTTATACAAAAAAGGGTCCGATCCCACGAAATTTGATCGTGAATTAATGACACATCGTTAATTGGAAAGGTTTTTGCTAATGTCAGTTTTCATCGCATCAACGACTGAAACAGTGTGTGATTCTACCCATGTTTTACGTATCAATCTATTCATAAGATGAAATTCGTTGTTTTAATCTACGATAATGAAAAAAAATTTAAGCGACGCGTCATTTTTTAGTCATAAGTGTAAGACCGAACGGCTGGGTCATGTGAATATTGAAGAATACATTTTCTTCGACTAATTAGTTTTTTGCAGCCGATATGAGGAGCGGATTGAAATTGCAAGCTGATTCGAAGGAGAAGCGTCATCAAAATATTTAAAACCCGAGCAGCCCCCCGAAGATATATATGCATAAAAATTTGAATACCCACCTGTCCTTGATTTGCAGCTTCTTTAACCAGATCGTTCCATTGGGGCTGGATGTTTGCCTCATGATTACGCAAGTCACCGGAACAGTCAGGCAGCGGCAACTCCCGTGGCGACGCTGAGCAAGAAGTGACGCTATTCTCCACAAATTCATTCACCAGATCAGAATTTTTCGATTCTAGTGCCGTAGACACCGAACCAGTCCTGACACCGCCCCAAACATCGCGTTCGTCCGTGAAAGAATCAGGTTTATCACCGCCCCAAGGCAGACTCGTCGGTCCCATGCCGGAATTCGGCGATGCTTCAACGCTGTTCTGCGCCGAAACAAAGGCTGGAGGGAGAGACTGGAGACCTGATGCGTGTTGGGAAGCAGCGAACCACGAACTCGAGATGTGGTCATTGATTCTAAACAAAGGCTCCGATTCGGTGTCCTCTTCGTCGAACATAAAACTGTTCATCGTCTCCGCAATGACCTCTGCAGCGTCAGCCGTTTTCTTGTTCATAAACGCAACGTGTGCGCAAGGCTTCCCACCCTCGCAAAGAAAGGCTTCGTTGGTTTCCGTATCCACAACCAGGATGTCGTCAGTTTCGTCACAGTCGTCCACGTCACTGTCGTCATTCGCATTTCGTCGCAAATTGAAGGGCTCCGACGGCGCAATAATCAAATTCGGCGAATCCAAATCCTCCAGAATAATGGAGCCATTGTGACCTAATCCGTTTACAGAGACCGGTTTCACTCCACGAAGGTTCTCATCGTCACTTTCCTCTTCCGAAAAATCGTCCGTCGCCGAATCGGCCGAGTCTCCATCTTCCGATAATTCTCGAATCGGGGATAAAACTAACGGAAGGCCAGAGGATAAATTCTCCGCGTTGATCAAATACTCGTCCTTTTCTCCTTCGATTTGCTGAACTTCGTCCTCATTTTCATTCTTCTCCGGAGATATATTATTTAGTTGTGCACCTAGCATGTCACGCAAGCGCTTCAAAGAATCCGCCACATCAGCTCTGTCTCTTCCATTTTCATCCGACGATTCGTCTGCATCGTTTTCGTCACTAGAATGCATTTCGTCACCCGCGCTTGCTTGATCACACCGAGAAAAATCATTGGATTCGTCCTGTTTCGGTGAGGAAAAAGTTCGGCGATCTGGACTATTTATCATGTCCCAGCTCCCATTGCTTTCAATAGATTTCCTATCTTTGACAACAAAAGTTTCATTCAACGCATGTTCCGGGGAAATCTCGGCATCCGGAACCCCCGAGTCGTCGGACTGCAAGAACTTCTGCATCAAAGTACTCTGATCTGAATGATCGACGGTAGAGTCAGCGGTGAAGTACGCCTCGTTAATTGTGCTTTCAGACGCAGTGACGTAAGCATTAGACGCAAGTGTACTGATTGAAGACGTCGTCTCATCGCACTCCGAATACAGCAGTTCAACATTTTTAACAGGGGTATTGATTACGACCCAACTGCCGTTGCTTTCGATCGACCTCCGGTCTTTGTACGGACGCGGTTGGCGGTCGAGCGACCCGGCGGCCCGTTCCAGTCGAGCAAAGGTGTCCATGACTGAATCCATTGTCTCCTGTTCAGCGACCTTCTCAGAGCTTCCAACCTCACCATTCACTCTTTTGGTCGCATTGTCGAGATTGAAAAGAGCCCGCTTAACGGTTGCACTTCCGGTGCTAGACGACTTTAGAGCTTGGAAATAGTCTAGACCCAGATCGTCGGAAGGACCGATTATCACGTCGGAAACGTCGGCATTAAAAACTTCCGGTTGAAATTTTGCCAAATCGGCAGATTTCGTTTCCAATGGTTCCCTCGGAGTGCTAGACAAGCATGCCGCCATATCTGCACTCGACGGCCCAGAAAAAGTTTCCGAGTAGGAATCGAGACAATTGAAGTCCGATGGCTTTTTGGCAAAGGATGTGGATTGCGTCATTAACTCAGATTGTAGTTTGATGTCCTCTAAAAAAGACTGTTCAGCAACCGTCACACGAAGGTCGCTTTCACTAGCACAAAGATTAAGCGAACTCAGATTCGACCGAGTTTCGGTAATTTCGGGGTCGGGACTACATTCCAAGTGCGTCAACTTCATGAGATTTTGAACGCTTTTAGATTTTTCCCTGATTTTCATGGCAAGGTAACCACTTTCCACGCGGCTTTTCCAGCCTTCGTCGTCGTCTGAATTGTTGGAGAATTGTTGCGAATTCATCAACAGCGAATCGTCTACAACGACGGACAATGTTGGCTGCGTAAACGGGACATGCGAGACGATCGAATCATAGTTTTCCCCCAGCTTGAAATTGACACTGGCGGGGACAGTCTGGTCGCCAAACCAGTCAGTCGGTACAGCTTCCAGCACGCACTGTTGCTCGTAAGTCGGCGATTTCCAGATAACGGGGTCCTTCATGGCAACGAAGTTGAAGTCAGACTCGAAGCAGAGCGATGGATGCATGTCATAGCCATTCATTTCGCTCATGGTTCGCGTTCTAACGTTCGACGAAAATTGATCTTGAGTTTGAGGACATTCTCCGGTTTGCAGCAAACGTAGAAGCTCCGACATTCGCTTCTCGACCACAGCCATGGACGGGCGAAAATTTTCGTCTTCCCAACACATCACCATTAAATCATATCTGCAAGGTAATTTCAGAAACGGCTTCAGCACACATATCTTCTCTCTTTCCCTAAAACGTTTTCTTTCCGATAACCCCTTCCTCAACTTAAAAATTTTCTAAACGAGTTCCCTGTGAAGGGCACAGGAAAATACTGCACTTCGGTTCTATCCAAATATTCATCGTATTCAACAGATGGAAAAAGTCTACAGCCTCGAAACTCGCGGATGACACTTACAGTAAATGAGCAAAGAAAAGCTTTAGTAACGTGAAACTCGGCGATGAAAAGCATTGGATCGTTATTTTTCTTCAAACAAACTAGTTCTGGACAAGGTAGCCAGTTAAAAAAAAAAAAAAAAAAAAAATTATTTTAAAAAAGGGGTAAAACAAAAAAAGTAGGAAGTACCGAATTCTTTCCAGGGCTTGAAAACAGAGATGAAAATGTAAAAGAAGAAGAAAAAAATAGAAAACTTACATTTTATCCTTTAACGGGATGTTCCCGGTGGGAAGTCGGAGCTTGTAACTGCGTTGCAGAAGAACTCTCGTTACGATGTCACGATCGGATACAAGCTCCCCGTACGGCTGGGCCCCCATTTCCAAGATTTCCCACGTGACCACGCCGTACGTCCAAACATTGGCTTGCGACGTCAAAGGCTTTATTTTTAGCGAGCCAAGCGAAGACTCGATGCATTCTGGTGCCACCCATCTCACCGGCACATATCCGTTTTCAGTAGGAAAATAGTCCTCCTAAATTGGGACATTCGGGAAGCGGCCAAGGACAAGTTAATAAGCGCGAAGGAAATTGCGATTGCATCTCCACCCACAATAAAGAGAACAGCGCGACAAATGCTTGATGCTTCACGACGCGGAACGAAAAACTCGGCGAACATAAGTGAATTTCGACCTCGGCCATTTTAGGACTTGATCTTTAAATCCGTACAAAAGTATGAAAAATACGTACGTGAAATCGAGTGAGATAACTTACCGCTGTGATAGGACGAAGAATTTCACCACGCGGATTTTTCTAGAAATTTATAAAAGCAGTGCGAAAAAAATGGTACGAAATTACTCACTGGATATCTATCCCTGCAATCTCCGTAATCACCAATCTTCACCGTCAAGTTCTCCGTTAGCAAACAATTTCTCACAGCCAAATCCCTATGAAACGACAAAAAAACAATTTTTAAAAATTTCATCCAAAATTTGAAAAGAGAAAAATGACCATGAAAGCTATGGCATGTGTTCTTAAATAGCGGACGAAAAAGAGCCACAAGGTAGCTCAAAAAATTTATGAGAAGTTATACCAGGTGGACTCTCTCTGCAACGAAATTCAGGGGACAAGGAAAAAAAAATGCGTTGAAGAGAACCCCTATATGATGGAGAGAGAACACCGATAGAGGCCAGAAAAAAAATCGTTGTAGACATAATCGTTGTAGAGAGATAGGCTACCTCCAATACAAAATTTAGCGAAAAAGAAAATTATAAGTTCGCAAGAACAGATGGTCTTCCGGGAAGGAAACGAAAGTAATGTATACTCACAAGTGTACAATATTCTGATTATGAATGGCGTGCAGCGCGGACGCGATTTCCTGTGCCATCCGAATCAGTACGCCGTCTCGCTTCAAACCGTCCTCACCAGCAGTTCCACGCAACGACCGAAGATAGGTTTTTAGGTCGCCCTGCAGCGCGCATGAGAAACAAAAACAGCAAATTAAACCACACCACAACAACTAAGTTGAGGCACGAATTCTATCTCATTGAAAATGTCACGCTTCTTCAGCCACACTCGTTAAGCTTTTAACGAAGATTCCCATGGTGAATTCGCGCGAACTTCACAGCGTGATGCGCATGAGAAACCAATTAAAAGTATTTGATTTGTTTTTCACTCCTTCAAAATAAATAAAATAAGAAATGAACCTAAATTTTAAAAAAAGTCTAAAGTACTGTATTTTAAATTGCAGCGATGAAGATTTTATTGCCTTTTGTCTGGACATAACTCGATTGACCATTAACATTACAAAACTGAACTTCGTTACTTTCATTAATTTGAAGGAACACACTTTCTAAACCGGAGAGTTCGGCGGAAAAATGTTGCAGCAGAGATTTCTGTGCACTGAAAACTTACATTTTTGTGAGAATAAGTAAAATAAGATTCTTGTAAAAAAAAATATCATTAATGGTTAATAACATCTGAAGCGTGAATGTCACATGATTACTATACAAACTCGAAGGAAGTACTACTAGCTCACCGTGGGACAGTACTCGAGCAGTGCAAGGAAGGGGTCAGCTTCTAAGCACCGACCCAGCAATTTTAGGACATTTTGGTGTTTCACATCCCGGAAGGCCCGAAGTTCATGTATTTTCGTGTAGACGAGCCGACGTCAACGCGGGAGTTTGTTACGAAAGTGTTGTTGGCCAGGTGACGTACTTGGACGTAGGGTATAAAAGGGGTCCTAGCAGACAGTTGTCGTCAAGTGCATCTTGAACAAAATACCACCGATACATTTTGCCGTGATATTTGTGAGTGTAGACCCACAACTTGGGGGGAAAAAACATGGGGACAGTAAGAAAAAGTGCAGAATTGTATTGGGAAAATACTGTATCTACAGTATAACGATTGATACAACGAACGGGCAATAATGCATTTCTTCACTTTCATGATGGCTTAAAACTAAAGAAAGCACGCCACGGAGAGGAAATTCGTAGGAGAAACTTCCAGGACAAGAAGGATGTGCAGAAATGATTACTGACAAACATGAGACGTATCTGATTTGAAATGAAAATAGGAAAAGTGAAAATTTAGAATTAAAAATATTTTTTTCTAGAGAGTCGATTTGTACAGTGAAGTCCGAATTCAATGACACGGAAACCAGATGAATCTTTCATGGAGCAATAAAAAAATGCCAAAATAAAGAAAAATTTACATGAACATACAGCATCACTGTATCGCAGCTGAATTCAAAAATTTTGTCTCCGAAGTACCATTATGAACATACAGTATAATTTTTATCACTCCTTCTTCAGGGAAGCGCACAATTGTTCATTCTGACCCGATGATCGTCAGAACGTAGTTACGAAGCAAAAACAGCGAGCAATTTCTCACCTGACCAAACCAGCCTTTCCCGAGCAACCGA